AAAGATAAAGCTTTTACTCTTGTCAAAGTACCAAAGTCATCACTTTATAATAACTGCAGCAACAACTGAGCAATCAAGCCCTCCAATGGAAGAATTAACCTAGGAGGGAGATGAGTGCACAGGTTGGCACATACTGCAGGCTTTCCCAGGAACACAAAGTTGGATCTGGACAAAAGGCGGCAGAAAGACACACGTGGCACAGCATGCGGAAGCCCAGTTTGGACGGTCTCTGCTGTGCTAGAGAAATCATTTGATCTCTTCCTTATGGAAATGCTCTGGTGGGAAATGGAAGGGAAAGAAAGCATCAGAAAAGACAACTGGCCTCATCAAAAGTAAAGTACCTTGACACTATGCACACGCCAAAAAGAGGCCCTGTATTAGAGATCCTCTGGTAACAAAGACTGATTTGTACTAGGCCCTGCACATAGCCCACTTCTTCTTATCAGTGATGGGCTTGTGATCTGCAGAGGGATTTGAGGAGGAGAGGAAGAAAACATCTGAGACTGGCAGTGAGCTCAAGGGCACAGGTCTTAACGTAAACACAGCGAACCCAAAGTCTCTGGTCTATGGAGATGAAGATGTTAGGGAGGACGGTCGACAGAAGCTTTTAGTGACCCCATGACAGAAATACCTAGGATCCATCATCTGTACATATATCCCAAGAGACGGACATGTAGAAATGCATCATCCATGTGTTGTAGCACCAGAGGTGGATAAGACTTCTGTTAGCTTTTTCTCAGTCATAACCAAAGGAGGAGAAAGGGAATTTAGGTATCACAGAACGGAGCACACTGGATTGATGAATGTGTTTGGACAGGACACGCTAGGCAAGAGAGGGAGGAAATGAGAACCATTCCCTGTGTGAGGGGCTAGCTGGCAGTGACCTAGCCCAGGGGTTTTGAAAGGGCAAAAGATGATTGGAGGACTTGGGATTCCCTTTCCTCACCAATCAGGCCCAGCGATTCACCCCTCATGTCCCCTGATTGGCCCCTTGGGTCACCTGGAGGGGGATAAAGGGGGCAGCACGGCTGACTCAGGGGGAGAGCAGCGAGGGACTATGAGGAAGGAGCTTTGAAGAGCGGGAAAGAGCTGAGCCAGCGGGGCGGAAGTAGTTGCCCCAGAAGAGCCTGAAGGAGCAGGACCTGCAGGCAGCAGCGGGACCCTCAGCAGCGCAGCGTGTGGCCGGCAGGAGAGGCTCCGCGATCCCCTACAAGAAAGAGGCTGCGGCCAGCAGGAGGATCTGAGCAGCGACCTGAGGGGTCCCAGCTTGGCTTCCAGGTCCTCCAATCAGAGGCCAGGCTGCTCAAGGTGAGGCTGGCGCTCCAGGAAGGTCAAGATCCCTAGCAGGCTGAAGCCCTGCTAGCAGTGGTGGCTGTGTAGCAGTGTTCTTGCCTACCATGTGGGGGATCTGAGTTCAAGTCCCAGCTTTGGTGACAAAGAGAAATTCTTCTTGCAGTAGACAGGAGGCATTGTGTTTTCCCTCCTCTCTCCCTCTCCAGGTGACCCAGGCCCTATATTTCTTTGTCCTTTGATATTTTATATTTTGTGCCTTTTTATATTACCCCAACCAGTATTGTTTGCGCTGCTGTTTGTGTTTTATATTTTGTTAACCCTGTCTTTTGCCAATGATTGTAAGTGTCTAACCTTTGTTGAATCCTGCCCTTTGGGGCATTGTAGTGTCCACTATACCCCCCTGATGCCTGTTATGTTCCCTCATTAAAAGGTATATGGTTAAGTCCCCAGTGGTGGTCTGGCTCTGCTCTATAGGGGGAGGAGAATCCCTACACCTCCCACAGCGCTTGTGCACCTGCTCTGATCCCTTCAATTGGAGTGGGGGTACCTTTTGGAGTACCACACGGGTTACACCTGGAAACAGCTCTTAGTGCACTGATGTACAAGGAACTGGAGTTGGTATGAACACGCTGAGAGGGCAAAGGGAGATCATGTTTCCCAGAAACAGATGCGTACAGAAGCACCAGGAGTTACAATAGTGGGGAAGACTCAAGTGAAGGCGCCTGGATCAAATGAAGGAGGATGAATCACTATGAAATGTGAGACAGGCATGATCACTGGCAGAGCAGTGGGGAGGAAGGGAAATTAAAACCCCAGCCTGAAAAGTGCATGAGGACAAGACTGCTGAAACACAGGGAGAAGACAATAAACTTCAGAGCTCGTACAGGAGAAGCAAGAACCAGAGCCTTACCCCGGGAAACGAGGGCTTGGTAATTCTTCAGCATCTGGTCCCGGTAAAGCACCTTGTCGTCATCTTCCAGCAGCTCCCACTCCTTCTGTGAGAAATACACGGCCACATCCTCAAACACCTCCAGGAGCTGCAGTCACAAGCGTTACACCATCCGTGTCTCCGGTCCCACCTGCCTCCAGCCCCCACAGCCCTGGCTGGCAATCACTCTGTGCTACAACTAGTCGCAGGCTGAGCCAGGACATGTAGGGGTGCAAAATTCCCCAGGATTCAGCTGAGCTGTGCTGTGGATGCAGCTGTGGACACAGGAGCTCAGGTGTCGGCCTTAGCGCAGCTCAGCACATTGTTTCCTCAGCCCCTGGAGGCAGCCTGGGCACCACTTTTACTGTCAGGGAGCCCCAGCTCCATGCGCCCTGACCAGGCCTTCCCATGCCAGCACCCCTGGCTCCCTGCACTTGGGAGGAAGACCCTGCTAATGCAGCTTGGTGTGTTTGCAGCTCCATCACCACAGGCTTGTCTCTCTTCAGGACTCTCCACTCCCCAGATTCCTTACTGCAACCCTGGCACCTCCTGGGCTCTGCCCCAGGTCTTCTCCCACCCACGACTCAACCGGGTGCCCTGCTCACCTCCGAGCTCTCCTCCTGCTTTGGAGGCCTGTCCTGCCCCCTCTTCTTTGCACTTGGCCCGGCTCATGTGTCAGGGAGCTCCTCTCCTCCGGTCTCCCTGGGGAAGTCCTCTGCAGCTCCAGGTTCCCAGGCCCCGCCTCAGGAGGCTGCTGCTCCGCTCTGCTCAGGGTCCCAGCACCTGCGGGTGGGGAAGAGAGTGCACAGGTTAGCCCTGGTGCTGCTGGCACAGGGGAAGCCCTGCTCGTCTCCTGGACTGGCCTCGGACTAAGCATGGTGGAGGCTTCAGTGTGACAAAGAAGTGGCAGAAGGAAGACTCAACTTCGCACAGCTCTTGCTAACAGACCTCCACGGGCATAAGGCTGGAGATGAGCCCCAATAACTGTGTCCCAGT